TGTGTGTGTGTGTGTGTGTGTGTGTGTGTGTGTGTGTGTTTTTAAACAAACATTTTAAAGCTCTTCCTATTTTACCAAGTCATCTACTACATGTTGAAGCATGATATTTCTTCCTGTCTCTCATCTTATTTTTCTATCACTCTCTCTCGTATGATATAGATATTACCAAAGTATATCATGAAATGTCTAACATTTATCTTCATTTTTACATTTCTTTCTCTGTGAACTTTGCATTGTACATGTAATGCAGTCACAACGTCTGAGGTAATATTTAACCCTTTACTGTTTGATTTCAAAGAGCTCTCTACGATGAAGAGAGTAGACAACAATACACTTTGGCATTATATTGTATTACCAGTAAGGCATTTTCAATTGTTATTTTTTTTTTATTTTTTATTTTTTTTATATGTAATGCCATAATCTATTCTCTCCATGCATTTGAAAGTGTACAGGGTTTCAAATTACTTTGCAAGTTTTCATTTTGTACTCAGTCGAATATTAAATAAATTTGGCTCATACAGTACAAAACAACATTTATTTCTTCAGAATTGTTATTTTCTCCCCTTTAACAGTGCTGTAAGTTGACCTTGTTTTTAATGCCCTTATGCTTGCATGTATAATGAGAAGCATTTATTTGCATTCGTATTTATGTTCCTGGCAGAAGAATTTTTTTATATAACAAACAACTAAATTTCAGCAGGTTGCTAAGATTTTTTATAGTGCCTAGATATACCAACTTCTCAAGGTTTTTATTGTTTTGGGAATGCATACTGTTACATTTTTATTGTAACATTGATTAAAGGAATAGTTCACCCAAAAATTAAAATTCCAACATTAAGATACTTTTAACCTCAAATGAGTCCTCTATCTATAATATTGCTTTCTGCAGTGAACAATTTGTCTCATCTGAATCAGGAGAGATATATGCACAGATCAAGCACCATTTAGCAAAAACAATCCAAGTAGTTGGGGGATGGACTTCTTTTTCACTGGAGGAAGCTTTATTATGGATTATGGACTTGTATTTTAGCTGGAAGTGACAGTTTAAAGTTAAAACACTTTTAAATGGGGGTTGTTTCTTACAAACCCATTCACTGCAGAGGATCTATTGGTGAGCAAGTGATGTAATGCTAAATTTCTCATATGTGTTATGCTGAAGAAACAAACTCCTTTACATCTTGGATGGCCTGGGAGTGAATACAATTTCAGCAAATTTTCATTTTTGGGTGAGCTATTCCTTTATTTCATGGGAGGCCATTTCTCATTTGTGTAAATTGTTTAAACATTGTTGCATTTCCAATTGCTTCAAATTGCCAAATTTTCATGAAAATGAGTGACTTCGGGTCACTTCCTATCATTGGCAGTTTAAATAGAAAATGTTTGTTTGCTTTCATACTGATGATCTTAGCATAAGCTTTATTACCAAGGCAAGTTACAGGAAGATGCTACAGTTACAACGTTTACTACAATTACTACTGATTACTACAATTACAACAGGTAGCTACGATGCTTCACTTAGATATGAAGATTTTGAGCAAATGCATAAAAAATGGGTAAATGAAAACTTAGAAACCTTTTTGTGAAATCACTGTTGTTGTCCTTGTAATATTCAGTCTTTTAGCCTCCCACTGTCTGTTTGAAACAACACCTTATTTTGGATGTCCTGTCATTTCCTCTATAAATGACAGGCAATCCTCCAGTACAAAACTCAATTCCTTCCCAAAACTTTTTCTTTCTTTTTTTTGCATACTGAAAGACTACATTTCTTGTTCATCTTTTCTGCCATTATGTCCATTTGAATGTATTTTTTTCTTTTTCAGGAAATAGTCCTTGTCAAATCAATTCGTGTTTTCAGAGTTGTATAAAACATCTTGCATTATTACCTCTCTTTCCTGACAGAAACGCTTGACAGGTGTCCCTTGACATCTTGTTGCTCGTGGTTAAATTGTACTTGATTAACAGCACTCGAGTAAATTATTATCACCTTTGTTGTTATAACATGCAAATCAGCAGCAACATGGTGTATGTGGTAGTTCTTGATCTAATTTATTACATACTATGAACTGAAATCCCATTCATTTTCTCCATAGGAACTTTCTCCATGATTTTTAAACTCTACAGGCCTTTAAAGACCGACCTACTGTGAGCTACAATATTATTAATCAATGGTATAGGCTTTTGTTGAAGCCATCTGCATTATTTACTTATTTAACAGTGAAATTTCTGGTAAAAAGCTACATTACCCGTGATTCTGCAAAGTAATCTCCACCAATCAGAGAACTGAAACAAACTGGATCAAAAGAACTCTTTAGCACCTTCTCACTCCCACTGCAAATAACATAAGAGTCAGTCTCCATATGCCTTGAAACTACTTAAATACTACTTAAATGCTTATTGGGAATGCTTATTTGCTTCAAATCAAAGTTGTGATTCACTTTGTAGCTGGTTGGCTTGTTCATGGCTCTTCAGCAAAGACTTTTTAAAAAATCCCTATGGGGAAAATTAATGAAAAAAAATATACTTCTAAAATCAAGGCTGCTGAAAAAAATGTCCAGGCACTGTTGTGCTCTATTTTATATATGTTACATTTAAGAATGAGTCACATAAACGCAGACGCAAGCACTTGGGCAATGCTCGGTCTGGTTAAACATACTTGACTTGCCTTTGACATTAAACACGATATGTTATTATGCAGGCAAGTCTGTTTGCTTTTTTAAAACACTCCAAGACGTCTTTTCCACACTGTGACTGTGACAGCCTAACAGCAAACGTAGCAAATTTCATGTGAAATGTGAAACTTCACTGTTAAAAATATCACATGAATTGCTTCTCATTTTTACCCTCATATATAAAATTTTCATGAGAAAAAAATACTGTGAACATAATATCTAAACTATATAAAAACCTTTTTGAAAAACATGTTACTCATTATTGAATGGCCTCTGTGAAAATGGGAATCCACAAAAACTCATTTAGTCTTTTTTGCATTTAAATAGACAGTTCCTCCAGGGCCAATCAGCATTAAATAAATCACCAGTCAAATCGATGATGCCTAATTACTGGAATCAATATTAGTAAGGGTCAGCAAGAGTTGCATTAGATAAAAATACATTGTAATGACCAAGTGAATGTTTGCTATAAATACTCGCTATTTATTCCCTAGAAATAGTCTTTAACCTATTATTATTTGGTCTTGGGAAAAGGATTTCATTTAGGTTTTCTGCTCTGAACAGTTAATGTGCCTTATTAGTGCGAGCAGTGCTAGTCTATAAATCACTGCAGCTCTCACTGCAGTGGCTTTAACACAAGGGTTCCCTGGACACCAGCTCTGCTTCAGCTTCTCAGTTTCAATCCTTTCTGAATCGGTTTTCACACTGTCCTGTATACCAGATGCCCAGCCATTCCCTGTTCCGCTGCGAATCTGTTGCCGCCCATGGGACGTCTGGCTGGTTGAAGTTTGGCCCCTGGGCCGCTCTGGTTTGTTAAGGGGAATATGGGTTTGATATGTGCTCCAGGTCGCTCTGCAAGTTTGTATTTCCTCCTGCTTTATCTGTGAAAGGCAGACCTGGTTGAAGTTGTAGAAGGAAGTAGTACGTTTTGAAGTTTCTACTTCACTCGCATGAGTGCCATCTGAAGGTTCATGTTCTGTTTAATCGGATAGTTCACCCAAAAACTTAAATTCTGGCATCTCATGTTGCCTGAAACTTTTTATTTTTTTTCTTCTAGTCTTTTCCATGCAAACAAAGCAAACAAGCACCAATATATTATATAATTAGTCTTATGAAGCCATCATTTTTTGTGAGGAACAGAACCTGAAGTTATGTATATGTAAATTTAATACATCACTTCCTCACCAATGGATCCTCTACAGTGAATGGGTGCCGTCCATTGATCTAAGATGTCTGTAACTTCAAACCATTGCTTCTAAGATGTGAGTCATCTATCCATAATATTCCTTTCTCCAGGGGAAAAAGTTATCTGGTCTCAATCAGGAGAGAAATATGCACAGATCAAGCACCGTTTAAAAGTGAAAACTGTCCAGAACAGTTCTAAACAAATACATGTACATCTAAAAAAATTAGAATATCATGAAAAAGGTCAATATTTTTTGTCACTCATTTCAGAAAGTGAAACCCATATATTATATTGATTCATTACACATAGAGTGAAATATTTCAAGCCTTTATTTCTTGAAATTTTGATGATTATGGCTTACAGATAATGAAAACCCAAAATTCAGTGTCTCAGAAAATTAGAATATTACATAAGATCAATAAAAAGATATTTTAAACAGAATGTCAGGCTTCTGAAAAGTATGTTAATTTCTATGCACTCAATACTTGGTTGGGCCTCCTTTTGCATGAATCACTGCATCAATGTGGCGTGGCATGGAGGCAATCAGCCTGTGGCACTGCTCAGGTGTAATGGAAGCCCAGGTTGCTTTGATAGCGGCCTTCAGGTCATCTGCATTGTTGGGTCTGGTGTCTCTCATCTTCCTCTTGACAATACCCCATAGATTCTCTATGGGGTTCAGG